TATCAGATACCTATCCAGCAGCTTTTAAACGGTGACCGAAGACCTGAAAGCCGCAAATTTATCCTGCAATCTAGGTCTCCCTTCCCTGGTACAACGAATGTCAAGCAAACAACGCTTATGCTGCCTATAAAATGAAAACCTGAGCCCTCCCACAGTTGAAACTTGCCCCACCAATGGTGTCTGGAACCGCGTCTCGGCACGGTCGTCTGAAGGCTTGACAACCTAATCCGCGACGATGGCCGTTTGACGAGATATACGCCCATAATCTCCCAAGAATCCCAGCGACATGCATACTGTGCGGCGTGTCGCAACCGTCCAGCTGTATTCACAGCGACTCGACTATGTGATCTGAACATGGATCGTGCCCAAAGATAGACATAAACCCAGTCGAGATAAGCCAATAACTTTTAGCTATTGTCATTCGATTTTGATTTGTATGCAGCATGCAACGCGATTAACGGAAATCAAAATGATGGTTATTTGATGTAGATTTCTCAGATGACTCAAAAATAAAGAGAAAAGTTGAATCAACTTTATATTAGCTCCAACTGCTAAGGCTGAAATTCTTCAACAAATGTCCACAAAACATATTGCATCTTCTATGGTACATTTTTGTCTGCCGCTCAACAAGTTTTGCATGCTGGCACGCCCATTTATTGCAAATTTAGCTTGACACGAACATGACTATCCTATCCCTCTTGTCTTGTGACGTCTTGATCGGTCTTGTGACGTAGACGTTGACTCTTACTCTCTGACGTCTTCGCTCGTTATTTTCGTCTGTCGCCTTTTTACCTACTTGTCACGGTCATTGGTTTTTCACCCTTCATCTCCAGCCAACGCTTTGGCAGCCATTACGGGCGTTAGAACCACATTCGGGTCCACTAATCTAGTGATGAATGGCCACTTAGGCCCAGTGAAGGCTCTTGCTGGGACCCTGGAGGCCGCAGCAGGACGGCGTCCCGGACATGACGATACTCCTGCAGGCCTCTATGTAACTCATTTGTCGTGTCGTTTACTTCACCGCCGAGCGGAATCCATGAGATAGTAACAATACTAGGGTTACCCGCGTGCTCCGCAACGCGAAGGGGGGATTTTTTGACCCGTGGGTATTGGGTTGGTCTGTGTCGATTTGGTTGGTAGATATCCATTTCGTTCGATTGCTTTTTGACGGCCAAGCATTTTGTAAGAAAACAAAAAGATACATCGCATCGAGGTGCCCGTGTCGTATTATCATGCGTTCTACTTTAGAATGATTCGAAAACTGGCGTGAAGTCATCGCCATCGATGAATTTCGCTAAAAATGACAATGTAATGGTTTGGAACATTTACATTTTTAAGGATACTGTTGCTAATCATGCAAAAATGAAGAGTGAATATTGGACAGAATTGAATGCTCTATCCAATGGTACCATATTCAATTGCCAAAGGTATCAGGTTATGCAGCAAACCCCGTGTGATTAATAAAGTGGCACAAAATTGACAAACACCATTTTCTCCTGTGATTTGCACCACCTTGATTTGGATCAATCAGCTTTTCACAATTTTTATATGAGAGGCGGTACCTTTCTCTTGCAAATAGGCGTTGATTCAACTCGCTCCATTTAACGGTCACCTAAAAATAAAATTAATTCCAAAATCCGTCAAAAACTGCAATTTTTCAAATAAAAGTGCCCTCTCCGGTGCACGTGGCGCGTGCTATCCTCTGCATTGCACACCATTCAATAGCCCGTTCAATTCTGTACACGATGCTGTTTTCTCCGTGCCGGTCGGACCCCTGGTCACCAAGATATTGCACGGGAACTGGACCTGTGTCGGCCAAAATTAGCCGTTTTCGCCCGATTTCGCACGCCGATTTATACATGTAAAGTCTATGACGCGAATTTGCACTTTTTGAGCACGCGCCACGCGCTCCCTATCAATCCGATCGAGCTGAGACCCCTCAAAGGCACGTCGCGCATCCTTGATCTATAAGTTGTGCAAATTTCACCGGGCTAGGTGCAACGGTCTGGCCTGTAGTCCACGCAAAGCACCACCAAGTTGGGACCTCGGTAACGGACAGACGCACCCTCCTCAAATAGTAATATAGACAAGCGGCTGCGCCACTTGCTTTGCTGCGTGGTAGGACAAAATTGCAGCACCAGCCAATTTGCTTTCGAATGGTGTTTGATTCATGTCGATGTGTCGTCTAGAAGCATAGATATGGACGGAAATGTGAAGAGAATTTAAAAAGAGCTTTTCTGAGGGCGTTGTTCGATGAAATTTGGGTGATACGGGGTCAAGACGGGTCAAAGGGGTCAGCCCCGGTCACTTTGGGTCAGGCCAGGTCACATAGGTCACCTCTCGTCCGCTGGGATCAGCCCGGGCCACTGTTCTGCTTTTGCCTCCACCACTACCCCTACCCCTATCACTACCCCTACCACTACCCCTACCACTACCCCTACCCCTACCACTACATCTACCCCTACCCCTACCACTACTACTACCCATACTCCTACCCCTACCACTACCCCTACCACTACCCCTACCACTACCCCTACCACTACCCCTACCAATACCCCTACCACTACCCCTACTACTACCCCTACTACTACCCCTACCACTACCCCTACCACTACCCCTACCCCTACTACTACTCCTACCACTACCCCTACCCTTACTACTACTCCTACCACTACCCCTACCCCTACCACTACACTACCCCTACCACTACCCCTACCACTACCCCTACCACTACCCTACCCCTACCAACACCGCTGGGTCATGTCAGGTCACAGAATAATTTGATCCAATCAGTACTAAAATATCAGACCTAAAGTGTTCTCAGCCATGCCCCTATTCGTGCCATTCTATTACCCTTACTCGATTTTGTCGGAAATGGCGCTTTGTGGCAAATGTGGCGCATTGCGGCAAATGTGGCGCATCTGTACCTGTTGGTTGAGCATGCATCCTGGTACCAAATTGTACCCTTATCGGGCCATATTTGACAAAACTGTGCGATTTGCGGCAAAAATGGCGCCTTGTGACCAATGTGACGCATTGCGGCAAACGCGGTGCGTTTTTATACTTGTATCACAAACTGCTCCCATTGAAAGAAAATCAACACATTCTCTCGCCACTTTTTATTCAAATTAAAACTTGCCCATCCGCCAATGCGAGGCACCCGCCGCCGATCGGCATGCATTTAGTCCACAAAGTTTGTCGACCCCGGCTCTCAATGAAGATATAAGAGCCGATCAAAATTTCATTGGCGTTCTTCCAGCGCGCCCCACGCGCGAACCGTGTACCCCAGCGAGTCGGAACCTAGAAAAGGCGCTGACCCGTTCTGTCACCTATAAGGTGTGCAAATTTCAGCCCCCTACGTCGTACCGTCTGCCCTGCAGCCGTAACAAATTGAACCCACTACACGATGTGCGGACACACAGACTCACAGACAGACGGATTCTGTTTGAATAGTAAGTTAGACAAGCGGCTGCGCCACTTGCTTTGCTGCGTGGTAGGAAAAAATTGCGGCACCAGCCAATTTGCTTTCGAATGGTGTGCGTTACAAATCGATGTGTTGGCTAGAAGCATAGATATGAACGGAATTGTGAAGAGAATTTAAAAAAGAACTGTTCTGAGGCCTTTGTTGGATGAAATTTGGCTGATACGGGGTCAAGACGGGCCAAAGGGGTCAGTCCCGGTCACTTTGGGTCAGGCCAGTTCACATAGGTCACCTCTCGTCCGATGGGATCAGCCCGGGCCACTGGTCTACTTTTGCCTCCACCACTACCCCTACCCCTACCACTACCCCTACCTCTACCACTACCCCTACCACTACTCCTACCACTACCCCTACTACTACCCCTACCCCTACCCCTACCACTACATCTACCACTACCACTACCCCTACCCCTACCAATACTATTACCCATACTCCTACCCCTACCACTACCCCTACTACTACCCCTACTACTACCCCTACCCCTACCCCTCTACTACCCCTACCCCTACTACTACCCCTACCCCTACCACTACCACTACGCCTACCACTACCACTACGCCTACCACTACCACTACGCCTACCACTACCACTACGCCTACCACTACCACTACCACTACCACTACACGTACGGGGACCAGCAGTTGCTACTGTACAGCGACCCTGAGTAAATTGTCCCAGCACCCTCACAGGGAACAACGATAAGCTGTCAGAGGGCACGCACAGAAAACCTCAGCTGTTCTTGCACAGGGACCGGCAGTCGATATCAATGCTATCGGTTGTTACTGGACAGGATAGACGGCTAGAGTTGGGGTTCGTGTACAGAAGCAACTGCGGGTCCCCGTACCCCTACCCCTACCTTCTACCACTACCCATCTTTGCGTGGCGATTACTGGGCAGTAATCGCCACGCCATGTGTGGATCGCCCATGATCGTAAATACAATACAATACAATACCCGTATAACTACCACTACCTATGACTGGGTCATGTCAGGTGACGGAATAATTGGACTACAATAAGTCCAATCAGACTTTAAAAGTGCTTCTAGCCCTGCTCCAATTCTTGCTATTACATAACCCCTAATCGTATTTGTCGGAAATGGTGCTTTGTTACAACCGTGGCGCATTGCGACAAACGCGGCGCATTTTCATCCGGTGATTGAGCATGCATCTATGCACCAAATTGCACCCACATCGGACCATATTTGACAAAACTGCGCGAGTTGCGGCAATAATGGCGCCTTGTCATCAAAGTGACGCATTGCGGCAAACTCGGTGCATTTGTATACTCGTATCACAAACTGTTTCCATCGAACGAAAATCAACACATTTTTTCGCCACTTTTCATTCAAATTAATAACTTGCCGATCCGCCAATGCGAGGCACCCGCCAACGATCGGCATGCATTTAGTCCACAAAGTTTGTCGACCCCGGCTCTCAATGAAGATCTACGAACCGATCAAAATTTCATTGGCGTTCTTCCGGCGCGCCCCACGCGCGAACCGTGTACCCCAGCGAGTCGGAACCTAGAAAAGGCGTTGACCCGCTCTGTCACCTAGGAGGTGTGCAAATTTCAACTTCCTACGACATACCGTCTGCCCTGTGGGCGAGGTCAATTGAACCCACTACACGATGTGCGGACACACAAACTCACAGACGGATTCTGTTTGAATAGTAAGTTAGATTAATATTTTTCGAAACCCATGAATAAGTTGCTTGTTCGAAACTATCGTTTAGATAAACGATTCGAAGTGCCTCGAATCATTCGAGGCACTTTTTACATAACATCCAATGCAGTAAAGTCACAATTTCAAATTCTCTATCCGTCGTGAGTTGACAAAAATGGCACGGTCCTATCTCGTAGGAAATTGTGGGAACATGGCCAGCCTGGTGCAGATTACTTCAATTAAAACACTGCGGGGTGCGTAGTTCGGCCCACACTCGTCAGTTTCGTGCTCGCTCGCACCGGAAGCTCCCCAGTTCGCTCACGATGCAGTTCGCTGTTCTGTTCTCGATGGTGGCTGCGGCCTCGGCTGTCCAGTACCCTCCGCACGCCTCCTGCAAGGCCGACTGGTGAGTCCGTGTTGTGCATAGGAAAAAATGAATTTCAAATCCTCAAAGGGCCTAAAGCTTCACACTCCTGGTATTGAACACTACTTAATCAACTTAGTTGCTAATGGAAAACATTAAAAGGTTGTAAGAAGCCAGACATTTACCTTGCAATGTTTCATCTGGCTGATGTCATTGCCACAAAATGATTCACGATTTCCATCCAAACCATGACACGACTTACGACGTTGGGTGTTTTTCTATCTCTCTCAAGGCATTCGCATGCCCTACTTTAAGTTTTAATTTTCTTTGCGGATTCAGGTACTGCAAGGCAATAGAACCATAATACTTTAAAAACGGCGTTAACCGCAAATATAAGAAAGCTATTTCGTCCAAAGTATGCAGCTAGCACGGAAAACATGATAGTATAGCGACGTGGAGGCATTTTAATTTGTCTACAACACACATTTGTGATGCTTGACATACAATTTAGACATTATAATGACAATGCTGACCCTCACCTCGCCCCCAGGACGTTCGGCGTGACCTGCGAGGAGGCGAAGCAGGCCATCATTGACCAGATGAACGCCTGGACCGGCCCCGAGGGCTGTGCCGACGGCGGAGAAAAGTGCCTGTATGAGGTGAGATGATAGGGAGAAAAGTGTTTGTATGAGGTGAGGTAGATGGAGAAAAGTGCCTGTATGAGGTGTGATAATAGTGAGAGTTGAGCGAAATAGCTGAATGAGAGGAAATGAACGGGAAATTATATCCACAAGAGCCTATATAGATTCATGGGGCCGACGAAAATGTCGGATATTTGGGACGGGGGAAGTGTCTTTTCTGTAAAACAATGTTTCTGAAGGTGCTGCCCTCTTGCGGTGAAACAACAGTGGAGCTGAGCCGGCCTGTCTGATCTATGACCAGGGCAGGATAATGAAAAACTTAAACTAAATCGCCATTATTACAGGTGCTGTCGACCGACGGTAACGTTGTGACGGGCACCCACACGACCCCTACTGTCGGCTACGTGGACGACCTCGAGTTCACCTTCACCGACGGAGGCGACGGCACCTGCGCCATGCACGTGAGTTCAACTGCAGGGAATGACGTCATTTTACACACCTGAGGGACGCTGTGGAATGACGTCATGGTGCACCTGACTCGAATGTTTACCGCGGGAGATCGCTTACTGTACAGCCGCACATAGGATAAAACACATGAACAATGATAGAGCGATGTTTTCCGACCGTTTACAAAATCTGAGGCACGTTTCCGTTCTTGCTCTAGGGTTTCTCGACCTCGGAGACCTCCTACGCCTACCTGGACTCGAGCACCAACTACTGCAACATGAAGAACCTCATCACCGGCTCGGGTCTGGACCAGTCCGAGTCCTTCAGCGAGGTGACCAGCGACGACATCTGCACCCAGTACTCGTCCGCCAACTGCGACGTCTACTAGGGCGGCCAAAGTACAATGTCACTGTGTGATTTCGGCTTTGTTTGTGGTACTCAGTGATCGTTGTTGTTTTGTTGTTTTAATAAATGACAATTTACTAGAAGTGGCGTTGATTTTCCATGGTTACTTATGACTACTTGGTTATTTGCTCCACGACGAACGACAATCGTTATTTGCTTCTAGAAAGAAAGTGGGCTTTCTGTATGGCTAAGCGCGCATTATGCGTGACGCTTAAGCGTCATCATAAGGGAAGGGCACATATGTAGATTTGAAAGGCATTCGCCTGCCTTGTCTACTTCTTGAAAATCTGAGCACAGCGTTTCCGCCTACATTTAATGGAAACGATTTCGAGTTAACCCTCGCCGGACCTATTGGTTTTCTACATACGCGCCGGCCGAGGGGGGGCGGGTACGACCCCCCCTCGCCATTTCGCCCCTGGTGGAGCTAGCGCGTCGCGGAAAAAACGAGCGTGTGCGCCGTTACGAGACGCAGAGATTGGTACCCGATTTTAAGGTCCTAGGTCAACCGGTGACCTCTGAGGTCAGGTCAAGTGCCCCAGGGTACGGTTCAGTTTTTGGTGAATAACTTCGCAAAAAATGGCCGCAGAGCCGCGATTTTGGCAGCATCGTGTTCGCCTCGCTCAGGCGCGTCGAATGATATACTTTTTGTCCGGGTCAGGTCAACTTGGGGTGTTGACCTCAGGTCAAGGTCAGGTCAGCACCCCCAGGTCACGCAGTTGGTCGAAAGAGGTCATGTCGCATATCATTCGATTCGGCAGGTCTTCCTGAGTCCATTGGTGGCTTTCTCGACTCGCTAGCTCAATTTGATCAAGAGTTATTGACGAAAAACTAATATGACCTTGATGACGTCATAAATGACGTCACGCAAGGTCAACATTGCAAAAGTGACGCATCTAATCTTGCAAGGAGTGCATCAAATCACGTTTCTGTGTGCTTGAGATAGTTGGAGATCGTTCCCGGCGCCAGAATAGCAGTTTGAATTTTTCCCCATTGACTTATAATGGTGAGGTCACGAAAATGACCTGACCTCATATGACCTTTAGGAAAAATCCGAGATATACAAGTTGTGAGACTCATAATGGATACTAGATCCTGCAAGTTTCATTTCCCTGTGACAACTCCTCTGGCAGTGAGGGCGTTGCGAAGTTGCGACATCTGAAGACCGTGCAGAGGTTCACTTATGACGTCATAGGTCAGTGACCTGACCTGACCCAAAAATGCGGTTGGTGTCAAAAGATGCGGCTTGGATCAAAGGTCAGGTATGCCAAGTTTCAGCTCTCTATCGCCAGCGTGTTCGGAGCTATCGCGAAAAAACCCTATGGGGGGGGCGGCACCCGCCCCCCCCCCCCCTCGGCCGGCGAGGGTTAACTTTGATTTATAGAAAACACGTATCGATATACTCACTTCATCGGCATCAAAGTAAAACCATTCTCGCGTCATTTTGCACACAAAGGTGTTCAAAATCCAGCGAATTTAGGCATTCAAACCTCTCCATAAATATAAAATGTGTGCACACCGAGGACACCGGGATCATGGGGAAACGGCACCATCTCACTGGTTCGCCTCACCCTAAATCGAACTAGAGCCTCGGGGAAAATGTAAGTGTGCTGGCAGTCACAAGAACTCTTGTGCGTATCAAGAGAAACTAAATTCCTCCAGCACTAGCCTTGCTGTCTTAATGCTATCATTAGAAAATTTACTCAACTGCTAGAGTATACAATTATTAAAACTTTAAATCATTTGAAGTTGGGGGACAATTAAATTTGGAGACTATCTCCAGTCTGTACAGGGTGTAACGAAATTATCCGGACATCTATTTTTTCGCCATATCTGCTCGCACAGTTTCTCTTTTAATGTCAGAAGCTGGAAAATTGGATGAATGCATACCTCTGGTATCTGCTCTCAACTCAGCAGTGACCTGACCTTGCGAAATGACTCTTGCTCTGAGTAAGGGTCGAGTCGCCGACGGGTTCATTTGATAGTTTTCGTTTAAGGCTGTGGAGAGAAAGGAGTACAGTATCTCGTTTCGTAGTAAGGCTACGTGTTAGTGGCATGGTGGCATGAGCCAGAAGCTGGTCTGTCAGCAGCTGGACATCAGCAGCAGCCAGTAGCACATCTGCCTGAGGCGTAATAAGCTGGGACTTGGTGGCAGACTCAGCCCGGCCTCGCTCGCAAAAGGCGCCCTTTGCCAAGTGGTGAGGAGAGTTGTCAAGATAGCGACAAGGAAACGGCACCAATTAATCCGCATACTGACTCGAATTCTTACCAAGGCAGATAATAAGAGGTCCCACATCATGATTCACCGTTACCCGCCCTTAGCTTGGTTTTACTGCCCTTCAAACTGGAAAAGACAATGAAATTGACGGGAAAACAACCAGTCCACCACCTTTGGCTTCAGGCCAGGGCGTGTCCACTGGTCGAAGGAAGACACGAATGAGGTGACCTGGTCGGATGGGAAGCTGTTCGAGCTGCGATACCCGTTGAACCGTCAAATCGGCCATGTGTGGGCTGCCAGCAGCTCGAATGTGCCGGCCGTCGCCGGCGTCAAACAGCCGGCCAAAATCCAGACCTGGAGCATGTTCAGCTGCTGTGTAATATTCAAGCTGTTCATGACGACACTGAAAACCACTATCAGTGACGAGTATTACCGGCGCAACATCCTGGCTAGCGATTGGTTGGAGCCACTCAACCAGACGGCACAGGATGGCTCGGTTTCTGAACGTGTACCGATGCCTGATTCAAGCCGCGCAGTCTTCATACGGGGCGGCGCACCACCTTCAAGTCCCTAGCAGAATGAGAAGTGATGCCGAGAGGACCTTTTTGTTCTTCTGGGCTAAAGGGCTATGGCTTGGGAATAGTTCCCATGCAATTTCATCGATATATTATGGACTATTGTCCATCAGGAGATGAATGAGGGGACACCCGCCACCAGCGCCGCCCAACTGCGGGCACAGGTTAGTAAGGCGCTACTCTATATGAAACCCACTGTGCTGGAAAATCCAGTGGCTGGAATGCTCCAAATATGTGTACCTGCGCTCTTATGAAAGGTGGCTATATAATAATTCAAAAGGGAAAATATCAGAATGTCTTGCTTCTTAATTACAGCTCGAAGAAAGATGTCCGGATAATTTCGTTACACCCTGTAAAGCTTTCTAGTCGCTATGTCTGTTCCACTGAGTATAAGAGACGGACGCCGGACGCCGTATCCAATGGGCCAAACAGAAAACAATAATGGAAGAAAATGCGATGGGTTCGAAAAGATCTGGTGTTTTGCACCTCATTTTCTAATAATTTGTTTTTCAACAACACTGACGATTATTTGAATTTCAACTCTGTGTGAGTTCAGAGAAGATCCTTGCGCCAATCAGAGGATGATTGAACCCGCGCCCCGCTTGTGGTACTGGATTTCCACACCGTGCTGGGGAGGGGGTGGGGGTTTGAACACCAACTCCCTTCTAACTCGGCTCTCGGGCCACGTAGCGACACGTCGTAGGTGGCGGTCGAAAGAGCGTAAAAAAAATAATGAGTAGATTATTTCGGTCGATCTTTAGATCAGATCAAAGGTCAGGTCACCAGAGGTCACCGAAGGATAAGTTTCGACACTTTCTTGGTCAAACTTCGATAATTTTCGACAAACCGGCGTATAGCTCAGGAACGCTTAGACCTATAGGTCAAGGTCATAACCTGACCGGGAAAGGACTGTTGCATATCGGTCGATTCGTATCATCGAGCCAAACATATCTAAGGCGTAATCAGCGCTCTAGCGTGCCTTTATCAAAAGTTATTAGCGAAAAACTGTAAGATACCGTTCGTGACCTAAGATGACCTCAGGGACATGAAGAGAGGTCATGTGTGCCATTTTCCGGTTCAACGTGTCATGTTTACTTATAACTTGTTGTTTGGAACTTGAAAGTATTTAGAATGACGTTCGTTCAAAAGAGGCGCCTTTCAATTTTCTCCCATTGACTTATATGTAATGGGAATTGGCGAGGTCGCAAAATAGACCTGACCTTAGGTAACCGATATCAAATTTCTGACACATACATTTTGTATATAGTAGCCGTTTTCACGTCGGGCTATCCGGCGAATGCACCTAATTTGACCAAATCTGCACCTTATCTCTTTTACAGCAAATATCTTCATCTGATGAATTTATTTCAGTATTTTGATCGATGATACTCTAATCGATGATACTCTCTGATATATGACAAAGGAGGCATATAAGCAATTAGTGCAACCCTAGCTGATAGCTTCTAAGAGATAGGTACACTGAACCTAATTTGGCCAAATCTGCACCTAATCTGCACCAAATGTGCACCAAATGTGTACCAGATGGCCGTCGTGAAAACGGCTATTGTTGCTATTAGTTATCAACCGCTGAAAGTTTCAAAGTGATCGGTCACTTGCTGTAGCTATGGCAGCCATTGAAAATTTTTAGGTGAGGTCACTTAACGTGACCTGGTGACCTGACCTTGAGTGCCCTTGGTCTGAACTTTCCACAGAATTTGTAAAAAAAAAGATCTATAATAAGGTGTGCCAAACCGCGTTTTTTTTTAGATCCTTTTTTAGATATGAGTGAGTTTTTGAGATATTGGCGAAAAACCGGAGGGGTGTTCAAACACCTCCAGCAGGGCGCGAGTTCAGAATCCAGATAAATAAGCATGAACAGTCATATTACTTACATACGTTTATTGAGCACAACACACTCAGATGTAGGTATATCGTTCAGCAATAATTAAATAAAAATCGGCTGGCGATCGGACAACGGCAACGACAGTTCGTTTCCCTAGTAGACGTCGCAGTTGGCGGACGAGTACTGGGTGCAGATGTCGTCGCTGGTCACCTCGCTGAAGGACTCGGACTGGTCCAGACCCGAGCCGGTGATGAGGTTCTTCATGTTGCAGTAGTTGGTGCTCGAGTCCAGGTAGGCGTAGAACGTCTCCGACCTAGAGTAGCCCTGGAACATAGCGAAATATCCAGTCAGCGATACCGCATAGTTAGGCATGTAAGCACTTTGCGTTGTTGTGTCTACACAGGTAACTGCACACGCTACAGAACTATACGATTGCCTACATGTAGGCTA